ATCCCTGGCCCAAGTTATCTGCATGCCATCCCTGGCCAAGTTATCTGCGTGCCATCCCTGGCCCAAGTTATCTGTGTGCCAACCCTGGCCAAGTTATCTGTGTGCCATCCCTGGCCAAGTTATCTGTGTGCCATCCCTGGCCCAAGTTATCTGTGTGCCATCCCTGGCCAAGTTATCTGCGTGCCATCCCTGGCCAAATTATCTGGGTGCCATCCCTGGCCAAGTTATCTGCGTGCCATCCCTGGCCCAAGTTATCTGTGTGCCATCCCTGGCCAAGTTATCTGCATGCCATCCCTGGCCCAAGTTATCTGTGTGCCAACCCTGGCCAAGTTATCTGCGTGCCATCCCTGGCCAAGTTATCTGCGTGCCATCCCTGGCCAAGTTATCTCCGTGCCATCCCTGGCCCAAGTTATCTGCGTGCCAACCCTGGCCAAGTTATCTGTGTGCTATCCCTGGCCAAGTTATCTGCGTGCCATCCCTGGCCAAGTTATCTGCGTGCCATCCCTGGCCAAGTTATCTGCGTGCCATCCCTGGCCAAGTTATCTGTGTGCCATCCCTAGCCAAGTTATCTGCGTGCCATCCCTGTCAAAGTTATCTCCGTGTCATCCCTGGCCAACTTATCTCCGTGCCATCCCTGGCGAAGTTATCTGCGTGTCATCCCTTGCCAAGTTATCTGCGTGTCATCTCTGGCCAAGTTATCTGCGTGCCATCCCTGGCCAAGTTATCTGCGTGCCATCCCTGGCTAAGTTATTTGCGTGCCATCCCTGGCCCAAGTTATCTGCCTGCCATCCCTGGCCAAGTTATCTCCGTGCCATCCCTGGCCAAGTTATCTGTGTGCCATCCCTAGCCAAGTTATCTGCGTGCCATCCCTGTCAAAGTTATCTCCGTGTCATCCCTGGCCAACTTATCTCCGTGCCATCCCTGGCGAAGTTATCTGCGTGTCATCCCTTGCCAAGTTATCTGCGTGTCATCTCTGGCCAAGTTATCTGCGTGCCATCCCTGGCCAAGTTATCTGCGTGCCATCCCTGGCTAAGTTATTTGCGTGCCATCCCTGGCCCAAGTTATCTGCCTGCCATCCCTGGCCAAGTTATCTGCGTGCCATCCCTGGCCCAAGTTATCTGTGTGCCATCCCTGGCCCAAGTTATCTGTGTGCCATCCCTGGCCAAGTTATCTCCGTGCCATCCCTGGCCAAGTTATCTCCGTGCCATCCCTGGCCCAAGTTATCTCCGTGCCATCCCTGGCCAAAGTTATCTGCGTGCCATCCCTGGCCAAAGTTATCTGTGTGCCATCCCTGGCCAAGTTATCTCCATGCCATCCCTTGGCCAAGTTATCTGCGTGTCATCCTTGGCCAAGTTATCTGCGTGCCATCCCTGGCCAAGTTATCTGCGTGCCATCCCTGGCCAACTTATCTCCGTGCCATCCCTGGCGAAGTTATCTGCGTGCCATCCCTGGCCAAGTTATCTCCGTGCCATCCCTGGCGAAGTTATCTGCGTGCCATCCCTGGCCAAGTTTTCTGCGTGCCAACCCTGGCCAAGTTATCTGCGTGTCATCCCTTGGCCAAGTTATCTGCATGCCATCCCTTGGCCAAGTTATATGTGTGCCATCCCTGGCCCAAGTTATCTGCGTGTCATCCTTGGCCAAGTTATCTGAGTGCCATCCCTGTCCAAAGTTATCTGCGTGTCATCCCTGGCGAAGTTATCTGCGTGCCATCCCTGGCCCAAGTTATCTGTGTGCCATCCCTGGCCAAGTTATCTGCGTGCCATCCCTGGCGAAGTTATCTGCATGCCATCCCTGGCCCAAGTTATATGCGTGCCATCCCTGCCCCAAGTTATCTGCGTGCCATCCCTGGTCCAAGTTATCTGCGTGCCATCCCTGGCCAAGTTATCTAGGTGCCATCCCTGGCCAAGTTATCTCCGTGCAATCCCTGGCCCAAGTTATCTGCGTGCCATCCCTGGCCAAGTTATCTGCGTGCCATCCCTGGCCCAAGTTATCTGTGTGCCAACCCTGGCCAAGTTATCTGTGTGCCATCCCTGGCCAAGTTATCTGTGTGCCATCCCTGGCCAAGTTATCTGTGTGCCATCCCTGGCCAAGTTATCTGCGTGCCATCCCTGGCCAAATTATCTGCGTGCCATCCCTGGCGAAGTTATCTGCATGCCATCCCTGGCCCAAGTTATCTGTGTGCCATCCCTGGCCAAGTTATCTGCATGCCATCCCTGGCCCAAGTTATCTGTGTGCCAACCCTGGCCAAGTTATCTGCGTGCCATCCCTGGCCAAGTTATCTGCGTGCCATCCCTGGCCAAGTTATCTCCGTGCCATCCCTGGCCCAAGTTATCTGCGTGCCAACCCTGGCCAAGTTATCTGTGTGCTATCCCTGGCCAAGTTATCTGCGTGCCATCCCTGGCCAAGTTATCTGCGTGCCATCCCTGGCCAAGTTATCTGCGTGCCATCCCTGGCCAAGTTATCTGTGTGCCATCCCTAGCCAAGTTATCTGCGTGCCATCCCTGTCAAAGTTATCTCCGTGTCATCCCTGGCCAACTTATCTCCGTGCCATCCCTGGCGAAGTTATCTGCGTGTCATCCCTTGCCAAGTTATCTGCGTGTCATCTCTGGCCAAGTTATCTGCGTGCAATCCCTGGCCAAGTTATCTGTGTGCCATCCCTGGCTAAGTTATTTGCGTGCCATCCCTGGCCCAAGTTATCTGCCTGCCATCCCTGGCCAAGTTATCTCCGTGCCATCCCTGGCCAAGTTATCTGTGTGCCATCCCTAGCCAAGTTATCTGCGTGCCATCCCTGTCAAAGTTATCTCCGTGTCATCCCTGGCCAACTTATCTCCGTGCCATCCCTGGCGAAGTTATCTGCGTGTCATCCCTTGCCAAGTTATCTGCGTGTCATCTCTGGCCAAGTTATCTGCGTGCCATCCCTGGCCAAGTTATCTGCGTGCCATCCCTGGCTAAGTTATTTGCGTGCCATCCCTGGCCCAAGTTATCTGCCTGCCATCCCTGGCCAAGTTATCTGCGTGCCATCCCTGGCCCAAGTTATCTGTGTGCCATCCCTGGCCCAAGTTATCTGTGTGCCATCCCTGGCTAAGTTATCTGCGTGCCATCCCTGGCCCAAGTTATCTGCCTGCCATCCCTGGCCAAGTTATCTCCGTGCCATCCCTGGCGAAGTTATCTGTGTGTCATCCCTGGCCAAGTTATCTGCGTGCCATCCCTGGCCCAAGTTATCTGCCTGCCATCCCTGGCCAAGTTATCTGCGTCCCATCCCTGGCCAAGCTATCTGCGTGCCATCCCTGGCCCAAGTTATCTCCGTGCCATCCCTGGCCAAGTTATCTCCATGCCATCCCTTGGCCAAATTATCTGCGTGTCATCCTTGGCCAAGTTATCTGCGTGCCATCCCTGGCCAAAGTTATCTGCGTGCCATCCCTGGCCAAGTTATCTGTGTGCCATCTCTGGCCAAGTTATCTGCGTGCCATCCCTGGCCAAGTTATCTGGGTGCCATCCCTGGCCAAGTTATCTGCGTGCCAACCCTGGCCCAAGTTATCTTCGTGCCATCCCTGGCCAAGTTATCTCCGTGCCATCCCTGGCCCAAGTTATCTCCGTGCCATCCCTGGCCAAAGTTATCTGCGTGTCATCCTTGACCAAGTTATCTGCGTGCCATCCCTGGCCAAAGTTATCTGCGTGCCATCCCTGGCGAAGTTATCTGCGTGTCATCCCTTGCCAAGTTATCTGCGTGTCATCTCTGGCCAAGTTATCTGCGTGCCATCCCTGGCCAAGTTATCTGCGTGCCATCCCTGGCTAAGTTATTTGCGTGCCATCCCTGGCCCAAGTTATCTGCCTGCCATCCCTGGCCAAGTTATCTGCGTGCCATCCCTGGCCCAAGTTATCTGTGTGCCATCCCTGGCCCAAGTTATCTGTGTGCCATCCCTGGCTAAGTTATCTGCGTGCCATCCCTGGCCCAAGTTATCTGCCTGCCATCCCTGGCCAAGTTATCTCCGTGCCATCCCTGGCGAAGTTATCTGTGTGTCATCCCTGGCCAAGTTATCTGCGTGCCATCCCTGGCCCAAGTTATCTGCCTGCCATCCCTGGCCAAGTTATCTGCGTCCCATCCCTGGCCAAGCTATCTGCGTGCCATCCCTGGCCCAAGTTATCTCCGTGCCATCCCTGGCCAAGTTATCTCCATGCCATCCCTTGGCCAAATTATCTGCGTGTCATCCTTGGCCAAGTTATCTGCGTGCCATCCCTGGCCAAAGTTATCTGCGTGCCATCCCTGGCCAAGTTATCTGTGTGCCATCTCTGGCCAAGTTATCTGCGTGCCATCCCTGGCCAAGTTATCTGGGTGCCATCCCTGGCCAAGTTATCTGCGTGCCAACCCTGGCCCAAGTTATCTTCGTGCCATCCCTGGCCAAGTTATCTCCGTGCCATCCCTGGCCCAAGTTATCTCCGTGCCATCCCTGGCCAAAGTTATCTGCGTGTCATCCTTGACCAAGTTATCTGCGTGCCATCCCTGGCCAAAGTTATCTGCGTGCCATCCCTGGCCAAGTTATCTGTGTGCCATCTCTGGACAAGTTATCTGCGTGCCATCCCTGGCCAAGTTATCTGCGTGCCATCCCTGGCCAAGTTATCTGGGTGCCATCCCTGGCCAAGTTATCTGCGTGCCAACCCTGGCCCAAGTTATCTCCGTGCCATCCCTAGCCCAAGTTATCTGGGTGTCATCCCTGGCCCAAGTTATCTGCGTGAAGCGCCCTAATTAAGAAATAAAGAAACCCTCAACAGTTCGTGTTGTCCGAGAGTCATGACCTCCTGCCAGCGGGCGTTCGACACTTCACGTGGCCTTAACGTGCACATAGCCTGGCACAAGCGCCGTGGTGACGTCCCGCCACTTCGCGGCGAATGGTGGTTGTTGTTGTTCGTGTGTGTATGTAAGTACATGTGTATGTACGTGTATATGTACGTGTGTGTACGTGTGCGTGTGTACGTGTGCATGTTTGTACGTCTGTGCGTACCGTTTGGCGAGCTGTCTGCGCTCCTCCGCTGAGTAGTCGAGGGAGCCGATGGCTCCCTCCCCCTTGGTCGGCATGAACCCAATCAGAGCGAGCAGCGCTGTGCGGACTGCACACACCACGCGCACACACACAAGATACATACATACAGATACACACAGATACACACAGAGATACATACACACAGATACATACACACCCACAGATACATACACACAGAGATACATACAGAGACATACACATACATACTCAGACACATACAGAGACATACACATACATACACACAGATACATACATATATATACACACAGAGATATACACAGAGATACACACACGGATACATACACACAGATACATACACACCCACAGATACATACACACCCACAGATACATACACACAGAGATACATACAGAGACATACACATACATGCACACAGATACATACAAACAGAGACATACACATACAACAACAACAACCGCCATTCGCCACTAAGTGGCGGTGACGTCACCACGACGCTTGTGCCAGGCTATGTGCACCCTGAGGCCACGTGAAGTGTCGAACGCCCGCTGGCAGGAGGTCACGGGGCAGACCCAGGTGCCACGGGTCGACTGACTGAGATGACTGGCTGATGCACCACCTGTGCCCCCTACTGTGCCAACCTGCTGTGCTTTAGCCACCCGGCGCTCCGCTCGCTGTTGTGAGCGTCGCTCCTCCGCCCTCCGTTGTTGTTGGAGGGCGACTGCCTCCAACTGCCCAGTAGCATCCTTCACGAGCCTCCTCCACAGAGGCCGATCTTGACACCGCTGGTACCAGTCATCGGCAAGTCCACTCAGCTCCACGTCCTCCTGTACCACATCACTCCATCTCTTCTCTAGCCCGTGCCGCGCCCGCTTAGCCCCCTCAATCCGGCCAAACAAAAGCTGTTTCGGCATGCGGTGGCTGGGCATGCGGGCTTCATGACCCAGCCAACGCAGCCTTGCCTGCCGGAGGACCTCACCGATAGGACCTTGCCCAGATCTTTCAAGGATTTGTGAGCTCCTCACACAATCCAGCCTGGTTAAACCCAGGATGGATCGTAGGCAGGCCAGCCTAAATGTTTCTAACCGGCGAAGATGTTCCATTAGGGGAGCGACAGACCAGGTGGCTTGCACACAGCATTACACAACCGATGAAAATATATTGTCGCTGGACTGATTCTGAGTGAGGCCTCTGTTGTCAAACCGGAGCCTGTCATAAGCACACTGCCCAGGTATGGGAAACTCTCCAATCTCTCCACAACTGCTCCATCACCAATTGGGAGTTGTGGGGGTGGAGTGTCCGATGGTACAAAATACCCAGGCAGGTGCTTAGTTTTTGTGGGGCTGATGTTAAGGCCCCACCTCTTAGTGACATGCTCCAGGTTCAGCAAGAGCGTCTCCTCTGAGTGAGCAGCAATCACCAGATCATTATACTCAGATATACATACATATACACACACAAAGACACACAAAGATATGCATACGTATTGAAATCCATGTAGACTACACACAAACCATGCTTGAGTGGGTGAATAGGTGAGTGAGTGGGTGAGTGAGTAGGTGAGTGGGTGGGTGAGTGGGTGGGTGAGTGGGTGGGTTGGTGAGTGAGTGGGTGAGTGGGTTGGTAAGTAGATGGGTGGGTGGGTGAGTAGTTGAGTAAGTGCGTGAGTGGGTGGACGAGTGGGTGGGTGAGTGGGTGGGTAGGTGGATTGGTGAGTGAGTGGGTGAGTGGGTTGGTAAGTTGATGGGTGGGTGGGTGAGTGAGTAGTTGAGTGAGTGGGTGAGTGAGGTGAGTGGATGAGTGAGTGGGTGGGTGAGTGAGTGAGTAGGTGAGTGGGTGGGTGAGTGGGTGGATGAGTGGGTGGGTTGGTGAGTGAGTGGGTGAGTGGGTTGGTGAGTTAGTGGATGGGTGGGTGGGTGAGTAGGTGAGTGAGTGGGTGAGTGGGTTGGTGAGTTAGTGGATGGGTGGGTGAGTGAGTAGGTGAGTGGGTGGGTGAGTGGGTTGGTGAGTTAGTGGATGGGTGGGTGAGTAGGTGAGTGGGTGGGTGGGTGGGTGAGAGAGGTGAGTGGATGAGTGAGTGGGTGGGTGAGTGAGTAGGTGAGTGGGTGGGTGAGTGGGTGGGTTGGTGAGTGAGTGGGTGAGTGGGTGAGTGGGTTGGTGAGTTAGTGGATGGGTGGGTGGGTAAGTAGGTGAGTGGGTGGGTGGGTGAGTAAGTGAGTGAGGTGAGTGGATGAGTGAGTGGGTGGGTGAGTGAGTAGGTGAGTGGGTGGGTGGGTGAGTGAGTGAGTGAGTGGGTGGGTGAGTGAGTAGGTGAGTGGGTGGGTGGGTGAGTGAGTGAGTGAGTGCGTTTAGTGGATGAGTGAGTGGGTGGGTGAGTGAGTAGGTGAGTGAGTGGGTGGGTGAGTGAGTGAGTGAGTTGAGTGGATGAGTGAGTGGGTGGGTGGGTGAGTGAGTAGGTGAGTGAGTGAGTGAGTTGAGTGGATGAGTGAGTGGGTGGGTGAGTGAGTAGGTGAGTGGGTGGGTGAGTGAGTGAGGTGAGTGGATGAGTGAGTGGGTGGGTGAGTGAGTGGGTGGGTGAGTGAGTGAGTGAGATGAGTGGATGAGTGAGTGGGTGGTTGAGTGAGTAGGTGAGTGGGTGGGTGGGTGAGTCTCACTGCTCCATGAAGGTTGCCAGGTCTCGGGGTGGTGGCCAGAAATGCTGAGACAGATTTTCTTGCCGACCTCAAACCTCCCACTCGCCTGCACAGAGATGTACAAAGACAAAGATCCCCCGAATAGCCTTAACAGACTGTAGGGGCAAGTGCTGTTAGCGAGCACCTATGAAGGCCGGAACGGTACACGAGGGGGTGGGTGGCCAGCACCACGCCCGACCGCCTTTGTCTCCCTAGTGGCAATGTTTACACACCGCACCAGGTACTCATTTGAGGCTGAGTCGACCTAGGGGAGGCCCGGGACCGGTTCAGATAATCGTCACTGGTGTTGGCCGTGAGCGGGAATCGAACCCGGGTCGCCAGGTTCATAGCGCAGTGCGCTAACCGCTACACTATCGCTCCCCACACAGGTAGACACACACAGGTGAGACAGGGAGTCACACACAGGTCATCACACACACGTAGACACACACAGGTGAGACAGGTCATCACACACAGGTCATCACACACAGGTAGACACACACAAGTAGACACACACAGGTAGACACACACAGGTAGACACGCAGGAGGTCATCACACACAGACAGACAGGCAGAGTCACCCGGTGCATGCCCCCACCGTGAGCATGATGATGCTGGGCGGCCGCATGGGGTACTCTGGGGGCAGGATGATGCGGCCGTGGTATACGCCGCCCTCGAAGTCCGAGTCCGGGGGTCCCCTCACCGAGAAGTGCCACTCAAACAGATTATCCTGCCTCGTCCGGACACGCGGGGATACACGGGGACATGTGGGGGGACATGTGGGGGGACACGCGGGGGACACGCGGGGAGACAAAGGGAGACAGCGGGAGGCACAGCGACACGCGGTTAGACAAAGGGAGACGCAGGGACATGGAGGGAGACGGGGAGACAGGGGGAGACACAGGGACACACAGGGAGACAGGGAGAGATACAGCGACGTGCGGAGAGACACAGGGACACACAGGGACACGCAGGGAGACAGGGAGAGACGCAGGGAGATGAGGTGACATGCAAAGACACGCGGAGAGACACGGGGAGATCAGCACCAATACCACCACCATCACCCGCCATCATCACCATAATCATTTACCACCATCATCATCATCATCACCACCACCGACACCACCGTCATCGTCGTCCTCTGAGACGACGACGATGATGATGACTCACAGATGCCGCCAGGAGGACAAACCGCAGACACGGAGCACAAAGGCCGCAGAGAGATGTCCACTACCAACTCCGACGGACTGTCGATGGTCAGCGTGCGCTTTATCCGACTTGCATATTAACCGCGGACCCTTGAGATTTTGACACAAATTATTAACCCGTGGAATTTTCCCTTGAGCCCAAATCAATCACCTGAACACAGTTATGCAACACTGTGATCCTTGGAAGCGTTCATTACAAGTCACGCACGGTGCTTGAACCGAACGAATACGGTACTGCTCCGGTTCATCCGAAATGCACGCGATTGCCTCTACAGTACAGTAGGTGCCAGTGGGTGGCTGAGTTTGATTGATGTTAATTGGCTATGGCTCTGCTATCATCCAATCAGTGGGCTGAGTTTGATTCATGCTGATTGGCTGTGGCTCTGCTATCATCCACTCAGTGGGCTGAGTTTGATTGATGCTGATTGGCTGTGGCTCTGCTGTCATCCAATCAGTGGACTGAGTTTGATTGATGTTGATTGGATGTGGCTCTGCTATCATCCAATCAGTGGGCTGAGTTTGATTGATGCTGATTGGCTGTGGCTCTGCTATCATCCAATCAGTGGGCTGCATTTGATTGATGTTGATTGGCTGTGGCTCTGCTGTCATCCAATCAGTGGGCTGAGTTTGATTGATGCTGATTGGCTGTGGCTCTGCTATCATCCAATCAGTGGGCTGAGTTTGATTGATGTTGATTGGCTGTGGCTCTGCTGTCATCCACTTAGTGGGCTGAGTTTGATTGATGTTGATTGGCTGTGGCTCTGCTATCATCCAGTCAGTGGGCTGCATTTGATTGATGTTGATTGGCTGTGGCTCTGCTGTCATCCACTTAGTGGGCTGAGTTTGATTGATGCTGATTGGCTGTGGCTCTGCTGTCATCCAATCAGTGGGCTGAGTTTGATCGATGCTGATTGGCTGTGGCTCTGCTATCATCCAATCAGTGGGCTGAGTTTGATTGATGTTGATTGGCTGTGGCTCTGCTGTCATCCACTTAGTGGGCTGAGTTTGATTGATGTTGATTGGCTGTGGCTCTGCTGTCATCCAATCAGTGGGCTGCGTTTGATTGATGCTGATTAGCTGTGGCTCTGCTATCATCTAATCAGTGGGCTGCATTTGATTGATGTTGATTGGCTGTGGCTCAGCTATCATCTACTCAGTGGGTGGAGCCTTCTTGCACAGGAAACTGTTATCATCACTGAGAAGCCGCACCGCTTGGTCGGTCGTTCGTATACTTTCTCAATTTTCTCAACTTTAACATAATTTAACACCTAACGTTAGTGGTTTTAGGGCATAGAGGATCCGCGGAAAATGGTCACGTTCGTTGGATTATCCGCGATTCTGAATTATCCGCAAGGGCGTCCTCCCCGTCATTAGTGCCAATGATCGAGAGTCCGACCGCGTTCCCGAAGCTCCGTCTTCCCCTACGTGCGAGCGAAGGCGTTATCGGTCCGATTCACCGGAGTTGCTTTATCCGCGTGGGCGAGGACGCCCGAGTACCCGGTGAGAACCCGTGCCTCATGTGAGAGGTGGGGGAGGGGGGAACGCTCGATCCCCATAAGTAGGTGGGGGGGGGATCAGTCCACGCAACTCAGCCGCTGTGCCACCTTCTAGAAACCGAACTGAACTACTTTTATTTCATTTTATCAGGTGTAAGACGCCCATCGAGTGATATAGATCGTATTTTGGAGAAGCGGACCTGGCTAACGCAAGAAAAATTGCGGCTCGTCATCATTGTCATCACCACGTGGAAATTTACGGCAGGAGCCGAATTGTCTAAACCGCGCAGTGGCGTTGATAAAAAAAAATGTTGGAGGGCAAAAATCGGAGGACCCGGAGAAAAATCCACCAAAGGGAGAAAACGATAAACAAACACCAAATATATAGCAGGCGTCAGGGTCGGGATCGAACCCACGACCTCCTGTATACCGGGCGAGGTAGTTAACATCTCCTAGCCACCGTGGCGTCAGACTCGGGATCAAACCCACGACCTCCTGTATACCTGGCGAGGTAGTTAACATCTCCTAGCCATCGTGAAGTCAGACTCGGGATCGAACCCACGACCTCCTGCATACCTGGCGAGGTAGTTAACATCTCCTAGCCATCGTGGCGTCAGACTCGGGATCAAACCCACGACCTCCTGTATACCTTGCGATGTAGTTAACATCTCCTAGCCATCGTGAAGTCAGACTCGGGATCGAACCCATGACCTCCTGTATACCTCGCGAGGTAGTTAACATCTCCTAGCCATCGTGGCGTCAGACTCGGGATCGAACCCACAACCTCCTGTATACCTCGCGAGGTAGTTAACATCTCCAAGCCACCGTGGCGTCAGGATTGGGATCGAACCCATGACCTCCTGTATACCTCGCGAGGTAGTTAACATCTCCTAGCCACCGTGGCGTCAGGATCGGGATCGAACCCACGACCTCCTGTATACCTGGCGAGATAGTTAACATCTCCCAGCCACCGTGGCGTCAGGATCGGGATCGAACCCACGACCTCCTGTATACTGGGCAAGGTAGTTAACATCTCCTAGCCACCATGGCATCAGACTTGGGATCGAACCCACGACCTCCTGTATACCTTGCGAGGTAGTTAACATCTCCTAGCCACCGTGGCGTCAGACTCGGGATCGAACCCACGACCTCCTGTATACCTGGCGAGATAGTTAACATCTCTGAGCCACCACGGCGCCCCTGGCAGAGCCAGGGGTATGTATGGCTGCCCCTTGGCGCCCGTACACTCCGATTAGCACGGTTGGCTACGTACGGTGGGGAAGAGGTTCAAGATACATACACTCTACTATACAGTGAGGGAAAAAAGTAATTGATCCCCTGCTGATTTTATACGTTTGCCCACTGACAAAGAAATGATCAGTATATAATTTTAATGGTAGGTTTATTTGAACAATGAGAGACAGAATAACAACAACAAAAAAACAGAAAAACGCATGTCAAAAATGTTATAAATTGATTTGCATTTTAATCAGAAAGATTTCTGGCTCCCAGGTGTCTTTTATACAAGTAACGAGCTGAGATTAGGAGCACACTCTTAAAGGGAGTGCTCCTAATCTCAGCTTGTTACCTGTATAAAAGACACCTGTCCACAGAAGCAATCAATCAGATTCCAAACTCTCCACCATGGCCAAGACCAAAGAGCTCTCCAAGGATGTCAGGGACAAGATTGTAGACCTACACAAGGCTGGAATGGACTACAAGCCCATTGCCAAGCAGCTTGGTGAGGTGACAACAGGTGGTGCAATTATTCGCAAATGTAAGAAACACAAAAGAACTGTCAATCTCCCTCGGCCTGGGGCTCCATGCAAGATCTCACCTCGTGGAGTTGCAATGATCATGAGAACGGTGAGGAATCAGCCCAGAACTACACGGGAGGATCTTGTCAATGATCTCAACGCAGCTGGGACCATAGTCACCAGGAAAACAATTGGTAACACACTACGCCGTGAAGGACTGAAATCCTGCAGCGCCCACAAGGTACCCCTGCTCAAGAAAGCACATATACATGCCCGTCTGAAGTTTGCTAATGAACATCTGAATGATTCAGAGGACAACTGGGTGAAAGTGTTGTGGTCAGATGAGACCAAAATGGAGCTCTTTGGCATCAACTCAACTCGCCGTGTTTGGAGGAGGAGGAATGCTGCCTATGACCCCAAGAACACCATCCCCACCGTCAAACATGGAGGTGAAAACATGCTTTGGGGGTGTTTTTCTGCTAAGGGGACAGGACAACTTCACCGTATCAAAGGGACAATGGACGGGGCCATGTACCGTCAAATCTTGAGTGAGAACCTCCTTCCCTCAGCTAGGGCATTGAAAATGGGTCGTGGATGGGTATTCCAGCATGACAATAACCCAAAACACACGGCCAAGGCAACAAAGTAGTGGCTCAAGAAGAAGCACATTAAGGTCCTGGAGTGGCCTAGCCAGTCTCCAGACCTTAATCCCATAGAAAATCTGTGGAGGGAGCTGAAGGTTCGAGTTGCCAAACGTCAGCATCGAAACCTTAATGACTTGGAGAAGATCTGCAAAGAGGAGTGGGACAAAATCCCTCCTGAGATGTGTGCAAACCTGGTGGCCAACTACAAGAAACGTCTGACCTCTGTGATTTCCAACAAGGGTTTTGCTCACCAAGTACTAAGTCATGTTTTGCAGAGGGGTCAAATACTTATTTCCCTCATTAAAATGCAAATCAATTTATAACATTTTTGACATGCATTTTTCAGGATTTTTTTTATTGTTATTCTGTCTCTCACTGTTCAAATAAGCCTACCATTAAAATTATAGACTGATCATTGCTTTGTCAGTGGGCAAACATACAAAATCAGCAGGGGATCAAATACTTTTTTCCCTCACTGTACACTCTACTATACACTACACTATATACTACACTACTATACTATACATTCTACTGTACACTACACTATACACTGTACTACTATACTTTCCACTACACTAATATACTATACACTGCACTATACACCACTACTATACACTACACCATTACACACTACTCTACACTACACTATACACTACTCTACATTATACACTACACACTATTCTACTACACCACTATACTAATATTCCCTACGATACACTACACACGACACTAATATACACCACACTATTGCACACCACTCTACACTATACACTACACGATACACTACACTGCACTATACACTACACTGCTATACACCACATCATACTGAATTGAAAAATAGAACTACTTGTTGTTGTGTTTCGTTTGTTGTCCTTCCACCCCACGCACCCCGAGTAGCCACGGTCGGCTGCGTACGGTGGTGCGATAGAAGTTCCAACACATTTGAAGCGTAGCCACCGCCACTGCACGTGTGTGTTGTACTGCACTCGTGTGCGCACCCCCCCCCCCGTCCCCACGCCCCGAGTCACCTCGAGTGGCTGAGCAAAGTAGTGCTGAGTGGGCTCCCTCAGCTCCTGCGCCTCCTTCATCAGGCGCTTCACGGCTGAGATGAGCGGGGAGACGCGGGGAGACACGGGGAGACGCGGGGAGACGCGGAGAGACACGGAGAGACACGGAGAGACACGGGGAGACAAGGGGAGACGCGGGGAGACGCGGGGAGACGCGGGGAGACGCGGGGAGACACGGGGAGACACGGGGAGACGCGGGGAGACGCGGAGAGATGCGGGGAGACGCGGGGAGACAAGGGGAGACACGGGGAGACGCGGGGAGACGCGGGGAGACGCGGGGAGACGCGGGGAGACACAGAGAGACATGGGGAGACACAGAGAGACATGGTTACAGAGGGAGACACGGGCAAACACAGGGAGACACAGAGAGACATGGTGGCAGAGGGAGACACAGAGAGACACAGAGAGACACAGAGAGACATGGGGAGACACAGAGAGACATGGGGACACACAGAGAGACACAGATAGACATGGTGAGACACAGAGAGACATGGTGACAGAGGGAGACGCGGGGAGACACGGGGAGACACGGGGAGACATGGGGAGACGCGGGGAGACAAGGGGAGACACGGGGAGACGCGGGGAGACACGGGGAGATGCGGGGAGACGCGGGGAGACAAGAGGAGACGCGGGGAGACGCGAGGAGACGCGGGGAGACACGGGGAGACATGGGGAGACGCGGGGAGACACGGGGAGACACAGAGAGACACGGGGCGACACAGAGAGACACAGAGAGACACGGGGAGACACGGGGAGACGCGGGGAGACACGGGGAGACGCGGGGAGACACGGAGAGACGCGGGGAGACACGGGGAGATGCGGGGAGATGCGGGGAGACGCGGGGAGACACGGGGAGACGCGGGGAGACACAGGGAGACGCGGGGAGGCACGGGGAGACACGGGGAGACGCGGGGAGACACAGGGAGACGCGGGGAGACGCGGGGAGACACAGAGAGACATGGGGAGACAAAGAGAGACACAGAGAGACACAAAGAGACACGGGGAGACACAGAAAGACACAAAGAGACACGGGGAGACACAGAGAGACATGGGGAGATACAGAGAGACACAGAGAGACACGGGGAGACACAGGGAGACGCGGGGAGACACGTGGAGACACAGAGAGACATGGGGAGACACAGAGAGACACAGAGAGACACAAAGAGACACGGGGAGACACAGAGAGACACAAAGAGACACGGGGAGACACAGAGAGACATGGGGAGACACAGAGAGACACAGAGAGACACGGGGAGACACGGGGAGACGCGGGGAGACACGGGGAGACGCGGGGAGACACGGGGAGACGCGGGGAGACACGGGGAGACGCGGGGAGACACGGAGAGACGCGGGGAGACACGGGGAGACACGGAGAGACGCCGGGAGACACGGGGAGACACGGGGAGACGCGGGGAGACGCGGGGAGACACGGGGAGACGCGGGGAGACGCGGGAAGACACAGGGAGACGCAGGGAGACACGGGGAGACGCGGGGAGACACGGGGAGACACAGAGAGACACAGAGAGACACAAAGAGACACGGGGAGACATAGAGAGACACAAAGAGACACGGGGAGACACAGAGAGACATGGGGAGACACAGAGAGACGCAGAGAGACAGAGAGACATGGTGACAGAGGGAGACAGGGAGACACAGAGAGACACAGAGAGACATGGGGAGACATAGAGAGACACAGAGAGACACAGAGAGACATGGTGACAGAGGGAGACGCAGGGAGACACAGAGAGACACAGAGAGACATGGGGAGACACAGAGAGACATGGTTACAGAGGGAGACAGGGAGACAGAGAGACATGGTGGCAGAGGGAGACGCAGGGAGACAGAGAGACACGGGGAGACACAGGGAGACATGGTTACAGAGGGAGACGCAGGGAGACACAGAGAGACACGGAGAGACACAGAGAGAGACAGAGAGACATGGTGGCAGAGGGAGACGCAGGGAGACACAGAGAGACACGGGGAGACACAGAGAGACACAGGGAGACACAGAGAGACATGGTGGCAGAGGGAGACGCAGGGAGACACAGAGAGACACGGGGAGACAGAGAGAGACACAGGGAGACACAGAGAGACATGGTGGCAGAGGGAGACGCAGGGAGACACAGAGAGACACGGGGAGACACAGAGAGACACGGGGAGACACAGGGAGACACAGAGACATGGGGAGACGCATGGAGACACAGGGAGACACAGAGAGACACGGGGAGACACAGAGACATGGGGAGACACAGGGAGACACAGAGAGACACGGGGAGACGCAGAGAGACACGGGGAGACACAGAGAGACATGGTTACAGAGGGAGACACAGGGAGACACAGAGAGACACAGAGAGACACGGGGAGACACGGGGAGACACGGGCAGACACAGAGAGACACAGAGACATGGGGAGACACGGGGAGACACAGAGAGACACAGAGAGACGCAGGGAGACACGGGGAGACACAGAGAGACATGGTTACAGAGGGAGACACGGGGAGACACAGAGAGACACAGAGAGACGCAGGGAGACACAGAGAGACACAGAGAGACATGGTTACAGAGGAAGACACGGGCAGACACAGAGAGACACAGAGAGACACGGGGAGACACAGAGAGACACAGAGAGACACAGGGAGACACGGGGAGACACAGAGAGACATGGTTACAGAGGGAGACACGGGGAGACACAGAGAGACACAGAGAGACACGGGGAGACACGGGGAGACACAGAGAGAAACAGGGAGACACAGAGAGACACAGAGAGACATGGTTACAGAGGAAGACACGGGCAGACACACAGTGTGATACATTCCATTCACATAGGCAAAGATCTCCCGTATAGCCTCTAACAGACTGCAGGGGCAAGAGCTGTTAAGTGAGCAGCGCCAATGAAGGCCGGCACGGCACACGAGGGGTAGCCAGCTCCACGCCCGGCCGCCTTTGTCTCCCTAGTACAGCACTGCCGTTTTTAACACTGCGCCAGGCGCTCATTTAGGGCTGAGTTGACCCAGCGGAGGCCCAGCACCGGTTGAGATGATCGCTGCCGCTGGTGTTGGCCGTGAGCGGGAGGCGAACTCGGGTCGCCGGGTTCGTAGTTTAACCCGCTAAGCGTGAACACAAACACACTCACTTTGAGTTACATCATCACCATCATCACCCCTATCACCACCACCATCGTTACCACTACCACCATCATCACCACTGTCACAATCACCACCATCATCATCACCATCACCACCATCATCACCCCCATCACTACCACCATCACCACCACCATCATCACCACTATCACAATCACCACCATCATCATCACCATCACCACTATCATCACCCCCATCACTACCACCATCATCACCACTACCACCATCATCACCACTGTCACAATCACCACCATCATCACCATCACCACCATCATCACCCCTATCACCACCACCATCATCACCACTGTCACAATCACCACCATCATCATCACCATTACCACCATCATCACCCCCATCACTACCACCATCATCACTACCATCATCACCATCATCACCCCCATCACTACCACCATCATCACCCCCATCATCAATACCATCATCACCACCATCACCCCTATCACCACCACAATCATCACCACTACCACCATCATCACCACTATCACCACCATCATCATCACCATCACCACCATCATCACCCCCATCACTACCACCATCATCACTACCATCATCACCATCATCACTACCACCATCATCACCCCCATCATCAATACCATCACCACCTCCATCATCACCACCATCACCCCCATCACCACCACCCCATCATCACCATCATCACCCCCATCACCACCACCATCACCCCCATCACCACCACCATCACCCACATCACCACCACCCCATCACCACCACCACCACCCCCATTACCACCACCACCCCCATCACCGCCATCACCACCCCCATCACCACCACCATCACCCCCATCACCACCACCATCACCCCCATCATCACCACCATCACCCCCATCACCACCACCATCATCACCATCACCACCATCACCCCTATCACCACCACCATCACCACTACCACCATCATCACCACTATCACAATCACCACCATCATCATCATCACCATCATCACCATCACCCCTATCACCACCACCATCATCACTACTACCACCATCATCACCACTACCACAATCACCACCACCATCATCATCACCATCATCACCATCACCCCTATCACCACCATCATCACTACCACCACCACCCGTATCACCCCCATCACCACCATCACCCCCATCACTACCATCATCACCCCCATCACTACCACCATCATCACTACCATCATTACCATCATCACCCCATCACTACCACCATCATCACCCCCATCATCAATACCACCATCACCCCCATCACCCCCATCACCACCCCCATCACCACCCCCATCACCACCACCATCACCCCCATCATCACCACCACCATCATCACCATCACCACCATCACCCCTATCACCACCACCATCACCACTACCACCATCATCACCACTATCACAATCACCACCACCATCATCATCATCACCATCACCCCTATCACCACCACCATCATCACCACTACCACCATCATCACCACTACCACAATCACCACCACCATCATCATCACCACCATCACCCCTATCACCACCATCATCACTACCACCACCATCACCCCCATCACTACCACCACCACCCGCATCACCCCCATCACCACCATCACCCCCATCACCCCCATCACTACCATCATCACCCCCATCACTACCACCATCATCACTACCATCATCAACATCACCCCCATCACTACCACCATCATCACCCCCATCATCAATACCATCATCACCCCCATCACTACCACCATCATCACCACTATCACCCCATAACCACCATGATCCCACTCATCATCCCCATCATCACCACCACTCCCATCACCACCACCACAACTCCCATCACCACCACCCTCATCACCACCACCCTCATCACCACCACCCCCATCACCACCATCACCACCCCCATCACCACCACCCCCATCACCACCACCCCCATCATCACCACTATCACCCCCATCATCACCACCACCACTCCCATCACCACCATCACCCCCATCATCACCACCATCATCCCCATCATCATCACCACCACGCCCATCACCACCATCATCCCCATCATCACCACCACCACCCTCATCACCACTCCCATCACCACCCTCATCACCACCACCATCACCACCACAACTCCCATCACCGCCACCCTCATCACCACCACCATCACCACCCCCATCACCACCACCACCCCCATCACCACCACCCCCATCACCACCATCACCCCCATCATCACCACCACCACTCCCATCACCACCATCACCCCCATCATCACCACCATCACCCCCATCACCACCACCACTTCCATCACCACCACCACTCCCATCACCACCCTCATCACCACCCTCATCACTACCACCATCACTACCACCACCCTCATCACCACCACCCCCATCACCACCACCACCACCCCCATCACCACCACCCCCATCACCACCATCACCCCCACCACCACCACCCCCATCACCACCACCCCCATCACCACCACCACCATCACCACCACCCCCATCACCCCCATCATCATCACCACCACCACCATCACCACCCTCATCACCACCACCACCCCCATCATCACCACCACCACCACCCCCATCACCACCCCCATCATAACCACCACCACCCCCATCACCACCCCCATCATCACCACCACCCTCATCACCACCCCTATCATCACCACCACCCCCATCACCACCACCCCCATCACCACCATCACCACCACCCCCATCACCCCCATCACCACCACCACCACCACCCCCATCATCACCACCACCATCACCACCACCCCCATCATCACCACCACCACCACCACCATCACCCCCATCATCCCCATCACCACCACCCCCATCACCATCACCACCACCACCCCCATCACCACCACCCCCATCACCACCACCCCCATCACCACCATCACCACCACCACCACCCCCACCACCACCACCCCCACCACCACCACCACCTGGGCTCCTGAGGCTGTAGCGGCTCTCCATGACCGCCTCCTCCTCGAAACTCTTCACGAGGAGCCGTGGCGCTCCAGACTACAACACCGCTGAAGGTGGTGGTGGTGTGGAGGTATGGTGGTGGTGGTAGTAGTGGTGGTGGTGTGGTGGTGGTGGTAGTGTGGTGGTGGTGGTAGTGTGGTGGTGGTACTAGTGGTGGTAGTGTGGTGGTGGTGGTAGTAGTAGTGGTGGTGGTGTGGTGGTAGTGTGGTGGTGGTAGTGTGGTGGTACTAGTGGTGGTAGTGTGGTGATGGTAGTAGTGGTGGTAGTGTGGTGGTGGTGGTAGTAGTGGTGGTGGTGTGGTGGTAGTGTGGTGGTGGTGTGGTGGTAGTGTGGTGGTGGTGGTACTAGTGGTGGTAGTGTGGTGGTGGTGGTACTAGTGGTGGTGGTAGTGTGGTGGTGGTGGTACTAGTGGTGGTGGTAGTGTGGTGGTAGTGTGGTGGTGGTAGTAGTGGTGGTAGTGTGGTGGTGGTGGTAGTAGTGGTGGTGGTGTGGTGGTGGTGGTAGTAGTGGTGGTGGTGTGGTGGTGGTAGTAGTGGTAGTAGTGTGGTGGTAGTGTGGTGGTGGTGGTACTAGTGGTGGTAGTGTGGTGGTAGTGTGGTGGTACTAGTGGTGGTAGTGTGGTGGTGGTACTAGTGGTGGTAGTGTAGTGGTGGTACTAGTGGTGGTAGTGTGGTGGTGGTGGTGGTACTAGTGGTGGTGGTAGTGTGGTGGTATTGTTGTTGTGATGGTTAAGTTGTTGTAGTGGTGGTGGTAGTGTGGTGGTGGTGATGGTAGTGTGGTGATAGTGGTGGTATTGTTGTTGTGATGGTTAAGTTGTTGTAGTGGTGGTGGTATTGTGGTGGTAGTGTGGTGGTTAAGGGGTGGTGGTGGTATTGTTGTGGTAGTGGTGGTATTGTTGTTGTGATGGTTAAGTTGTGGTGGTGGTGATGGTAGCGTGGTGGTTAAGGGGTAGTGGTGGTGGTGTGGTATTGTTGTGGCAGTGGTGGTATTGTTGTTGTGATGGTTAAGTTGTGGTGGTGGTGGTATTGTGGTGATGGTAGTGTGGTGGTTAAGGGGTAGTGGTGGTGGTATTGTTGTGGTAGTGGTGGTATTGTTGTTGTGATGGTTAAGTTGTGGTATTGTTGTTGTGATGGTTAAGTTGTGGTGGTGGTGGTATTGTTGTTGTGATGGTTAAGTTGTGGCGGTGGTGGTATTGTTGTTGTGATGGTTAAGTTGTGGCGGTGGTAGTTGACGTGGCCTTTCCGGATGACGGAGGCGGCGGGGTCCTCGCGGCGCCGAGGTGGCCGCGGCGTGCGCCTGAAAAATAAATTTAATCACTCGGGCGCATAAATTAATAACATTAATAAATTATGATAAATTTGTGGTAGACTGTGACCTGTTTAACATAAATTAGTTAGGACGTTGCGGCTTTGCTATTGTTATACAGGGTGGCCCACAAGTCAGGACACAGAGGGGCATTATTGTTATACAGGGTGGCCCAAAAGTCAGGACACATAGGGGCATTATTGTTATAAAGGGTGGTCCAAAAGTCAGGACACATAGGGGCATTATTGTTATACAGGGTGGCCCAAAAGTCAGAACATGTCCGTTGTTATTGTTATAACAAACCTATGTTGAAGCTCCCATAGTGACCACACCATGGGAGCCTCAGTGATTAACACTGAACCCTATGGGAGCCTCAGTGATTAACACTGAACCCTATGGGAGCCTCACTGATTAACACGAACCCTATGGAAGCCTCGTGATTAACATTGTACCCTATGGGAGCCTCAGTGATGAAAACTGAACCCTATGGGAGCCTCAGTAATAAACACCGATCCCTATGGAAGCCTCAGTGATTAACATTGAACCTTATTAGTGCCCCTGTGATTGACACTGAACCGTATGGGAGCCTCAGTGATTCATAATGAACCCTATGGGAGCCTCAGTGATTAACACTGAACCCTATTGGAGCCTCAGTCATTAACACTCAGCCCTATGGGAGCCTCAGTGATTAGCATTGAACCCTTTGAGAGACCCAGTGATTAACAACGAACCGTATGGGAGCCTCAGTGATTAATGCATAATCCTATGGGAGCCTCAGTGATGAACATTGAAACCTTTGGAAGCCTAAGTGATTAACAAACGGACCCTACAGGAGCCTCAGTAATTAATACCGAACCCCATGGGAGTCGCAGTGATGAATACTGAACCCCATAAGAGTCTCACTGATTAACAATGAACCCTACAGGAGCCTCAGTGATCAACACTGAAACCATATGGGAGCCTCAGTGATTAACACTTCACCCTATGGGAGCCCCAGACATTAACATTGAACCCTATAGGAGCCTCAGTGATTAATACTTCACCCTATGGGAGCCACAGACATTAGCATTGGACCCTATGGGAGCGTCAGTGATTAACACTTAACCCTATGGGAGCCCCAGACATTAACACTGAATCCTATGGGAGCCTCAGTGATTAACATTGAACCCTATGGAAGCCTCAGTGATGAACACTTAACCCTATGGGAGCCCCAGACATTAACACTGAACACAATGGGAGCCTCAGTGATTAACACTGAACCGTATGGGAGCCTCATTGATTAACACTGAACCATATGGGAGCCTCAGTGATTAACACTGAATCCTATAGGAGCCCCAGACATTAACACTGAACCCTATGCGAGCCTCAGTGATTAACACTGATCCCTATTGGAGCATCAGTGATTAACTCTGAACCCTATGGGAGCCCCAGACATTAACACTGAATCCTATGGGAGCCCCAGACATTAACACTGAACCCTATGGGAGCCTCAGTGATTAACATTGAACCCTATTGGAGCCTCAGTGATTCACACTAAACCATATGGGAGCCCCAGATATAAACACTGAATCCTATGGGAGCCTCAGTAATTAACATTTAACCCTATGGGAGCCTCAGTGATTAACAGTAAACCATATGGGAGCCCCAGACATTAACACTGAATCCTATGGGAGCCTCAGTGATTAACACTTAACCCTATGGGAGCCCCAGACATTAACACTGTATCCTATTGGAGCCTCAGTGATTAACACTGAACCATATGGGAGCCTCAGTGATTAACACTGATCCCTATTGGATCCTCAGTGATTAACACTGAACCCTATGGGAGCCCCAGACATTAACACTCAATCCTATGGGAGCCCCAGACATTAACACTGAACCCTATGAGAGCCTCAGTGATTAACACTGATCCCTATTGGAGCCTCAGTGATTAACACTGAACCCTATGGGAGCCCCAGACATTAACACTGAATCCTATGGGAGCCCCAGACATTAACACTGAATCCTATGGGAGCCTCAGTGATTAACATTTAACTCTATGGGAGCCTCAGTGATTAACACTGATCCCTATTGGAGCCTCAGTGATTAACACTGAACCCTATGGGAGCCCCAGACATTAACACTGAATCCTATGGGAGCCCCAGACATTAACACTTAATCCTATGGGAGCCTCAGTGATTAACATTGAACCGTATGGGAGCCTCAGTGATGAACACTTAACCCTATAGGAGCCCCAGACATTAACACTGAATCCTATGGGAGCCTCAGTGATTAATACTGAACCATGTGGAAGCCTCAGTGATTAACACTTAACCCTATAGGAGCCCCAGACATTAACACTGAATCCTATGGGAGCCTCAGTGATTAACATTAAACCTAATTAGTGCCCCTGTGATTGACACTGAACCGTATGGGAGCCTCAGTGATTCATAATGAACCCTATGGGAGCCTCAGTGATTGACACTGAACCGTATGGGAGCCTCAGTGATTAACATTGAACTCTATGGGAGCCTCAGTGATTAACACTAAACCATATGGGAGCCCCAGACATTAACACTGAATCCTATGGGAGCCTCAGAGATTAACATTGAACCCTATGGGAGCCTCAGTGATTAACATTGAACCCTATGGGAGCCTCAGTGATTGACACTGAACCGTATGGGAGCCTCAGTGATTAACATTGAACTCTATGGGAGCCTCAGTGATTAACACTAAACCATATGGGAGCCCCAGACATTAACACTGAATCCTATGGGAGCCTCAGTGATTAACATTGAACCGTATGGGAGCCTCAGTCATTAACACTTAACCCTATAGGAGCCCCAGACATTAACACTGAATCCTATGGGAGCCTCAGTGTTTAACATTGAACCCTATGGGAGCCTCAGTGATTAACACTGAACCCTATGGGAGCCTCAGTGATTAACGCGTCGGTGTGGAAGCCTGGGTCCGGACTGCATCTCGTCAGCCACCGACCACGTGGCAGCCTCGAGCGAAGCTCTCCTGACTCCCGGCGCGCCGTCGACCAGCGGTGCGCGGGGAAGCGAGAGCGAGGGAATCCGCGTGGGAGTGGAGGAGCAGTGAGCGCGTGCATGCGGCAAGAGAGAGAGAGAGAGAGGGTGACTCTCTAAGAGAGTGCGGAGCCGAGCAGTCATCACTAATAAAGGAAAGACGCAAATCTCAACGTGTCATGGAAGTCGTTTATTACATTAAGTACAGGCCAACACAGTACGCCAGCAGTTGCCGCTGTCAGCCGTCACCCGCGTATTCCCTGCAGTGATGAGTGGCTGGGGGCGACGGAGCCGGGGGGGGGGGGGCGACGGAGCCGGGGGGGGGGGGCGACGGAGCTGGGGGAGGGGGGCGACGGAGCCGGAGGGGGGGGAGTGACGCGCGAGCAGAGGGAGCCGACAATGACTTTCTCATGCATCATGCACTGACTCACACATCATGCACTGACTCGCTCATCATGCGCTTACTCACTCACACATCATACACTCGCACAACCACTGACCCATTCACTCATCATACACAGGTTCACTCATCGTGTGCTGGCTCACTCGCACATCATACACTGACTCACACTGCCGCTGACTCACTCACACATCATACACTGACTCACTCATCATGCGCTGACTAACACATCGTGCGCTGACTCACACATCATACACTCACGCTGCTGCTGACTCACTCACACATCATACACTGACTCATCATACACTGACTCGCACATCATACACTGACTCACTCATCATGCGCTGACTAGCACATCGGGCGCTGACTCACACATCATACGCTCACGCTGCTGCTGACTCACTCA